TCCCCCATTTCACCCTCCAGTGAAATGTTTTGATCAAAAGCTAAACATCAAGTATGTTTGAAAGGTAAGTAAATTTGAAGCTGCAGCTGCTTCATAGAAAACTGTTTTGCAATTAATGAAGTTGCTAGTACATCAGTATTAACTTCAGTGATGGGAGTGACTTTTCTGGATTTCTGCCATTTCATTCTAGGCACTAGTTAACAAGGCCAGTCCTTCACTGTTTCCAGGGTGGCCCCATGGGCCAGATATAAGCATCCAGTGGGCCGGATCTGGCCCCCAGGCCGTGAGTTTAACACCTCTGACTTAATGTGTCATGTAAACACAGCCTCAGAGTAGTTACTGCTATGCTTTGGAAGTAGATGGATTGAGTCCATGACCTTGTTAACTAGTGCCGAGAATGAAATGGCAGAAATCCAGAAAAGTCACTCCCATCACTGAAGTTAACACTGAAGCACTAGCAACTTCACTAATTGCAAAACAGTTTTCTATGAAGCAGCTGCAGCTTCAAATTTACTTACCTTTCAAACATACTTGTTTAGCTTTTGATCAAAACATTTCACTGGAGGGTGAAATGGGGGAGGGGTGAAAGCTGGAAACCATTAACATAAATGAGATCTCTATCTGCCTTTCAATTTCTTTTTACTTCCTTCACTTTTAGAATGGCAAAAACCATTTATTCAGAAAGCACTGATTCCTCCCTGTATCTCCATAAACTGGAGGCTAAGAATTTCCAGGTTGGGAAACATTCCTTGGCAGGGTATTACTAGATGTCAGAGATGGAAGGCTGTTTGCATAAATAGTTGAGCAACTATTTCTAGTCCACACTGAAGGATCATTTACCATTTTGATGAATGTAGGGAACACTGCTTAGCTGTTTTGCTGCTGATCCAGACATTGCACAGCTGCCGCTCCACGTGTTTACAATAGAACATGTGCCTGAAGAGCATCTGATACCGTGTTAAGGCTTTTCTACAAGTCAAGCATAAAAATAGCAGCATATAGAAATGAAATCTTTGACTGTTTCTGAATTACAAGCAAATGCTAAGCAAGCATTAAATTTTCTCAGAAAGAAATTTATCTAGGCATAAGGTAATTTATTTTGCTAGTCGTAGCTTACTTTAGGGGGTGGTACTTATCTCCATTACAAAGCTGTTGAGTGCTGTCCAAAGATTTTTCCATGGTCATGTGGCCAGCATGACATCACATTATAGCACAGAGCATGTGGCGAAACATGGATCGCTGTTACCTTCCCACCAAAGTGGTATCCATTTACCTATTCACATTTGTACACTTTCAAATTGCTAGGTTGGTAGAAGTTGGGGCAAGTAATGTGAGCTCACCTTGTTGTGTGGCGCTCAGATCTGGAACATGGCAGTCGGCTTTCCAGCCACCATCTTAACCATTGAGCCATTACACTGCCCGTCCAGACATGGGCAGTTTTTAGTCCATCCTAAACACTTCCTATATTGGGACCCCAGATTATTAAACTATCAGCGATCAAATCACTGCAAAAAATATACTGACGGCAATGTATAAATGATGTGGTTCTTCCTGGCAGAAATTCCTCTCCTTGGCTTACCTGTTGATGATGAGAGACAATGGCCACTTCACAATGTAATCAAAAGAAAATGCTTCCAGGCCACTGAGCGTGAGCTCTGTTGGATCAGCATTGATTATGGCTTTCTCCTGCTTTGTCTCAATGGCCAGAACTCGCAGGAGCTGTGTTATGAGATCATGTGGCATCAAGTCAATCTTGAAAGAAACCACAAGAGCAACGAGGTTAGCTTAAAGCTGAAGTAAGAATCTGACAATGTGATATTGGAGAGAAAAAAAATACTCTTTGTTAACTATAAGGCATTTTTAAGTAATTAGGTTGGGTAATGCATGTAAGACAACTTAGGCAAAAAAGGCATTTCTTCTACCCACAAAATATAGTCTTTTGCTTAGATGCTTCTATAATTATATATATAATTATATATTTAATATAATATATAATAATATAATTATTTAATAATTATGGAATTATTAACTGACAAATGAGAGTTGGACAGCATATAAATGTATACTAACAATGATAATCAACATGACCCTTTGCTCTAAAAAGGCTTTCAGCTGCACTTCCTCTTGGCTTATATGGCAAATTCTGTGACTTAAGTATTCTCTTGAGTTGTGAATAGTGTATCTGCTGTTATGGTTGCTTCAGGATTTTTTTTTTTTTGTCCTGAAAGTTTTATATTACTGGCTTTATAAAGGCAGAGACAGTTAACTATCTAGACCTCCCAGTTTTTATCTGTGGATGTGAAATCTGTCTTTATTTTCTGTCCTTATAACACCTTGTTTTCATTTCAGGTTGCAAAGAGTCGCTTACCTTTAAATCATCTTTAAATGGGTCAGTGTTAGCTGTGCTCATACGTAATGCTAATTCCAGAAGAGCTTCCAATCTGGTCGGAATGATATCATCTACTGGTTTTTTCAATTCCTCTTCTGTCAAATCCATGAAATGGACATAAAAGTCACCTTGGTCCATGAGAAAGTAGTGTTTGATGGACCTGCTCAACAAAAAAGGGGACATATTTTCTACAAGGAGAAAAGTTAACAAAAGCCAGCATGTTTCCACCCTCCCTGAATCATTCTCTTAGGCAAAGGAAGGTAAAAACAGCACTTTCTGAATATAACAAATGAAGCAAACCTTAAGCGGGCCACAAGCTCCTTTTCATCCATCAAGAAATCAAGCAAGACTTTGCTGGCATAATTATAGGCCTTCTCTATCTGTTCCACATATTCACGCTCCTTCAAGGTATAAACAACCTCCTTTGCCACTGGGCAAGTAACATCATGGCCACATTCCCGGACCACATTTAAGTACTTCCCTGAAGGAAGAAAGGAATAACTCAGATGGGTATAGATTGAATAAAAACTTTACATCAAGCAAAACTTAATTTGCTCTGCCTTGTGAAAAGAAGTGAATACACGCATTTAAAAACACCCATTTAAAAACATGTAATTATTTCTAAGGGAGAGAGTTTGGTATAGTGGTTAAATGATCAAATCAGAAACTGGGAGTTTTAGTCCAGCCTTAGGCATGAAATCAAGTGAATGACCTTGGGTCTCTCTCTCTTAGCCCTAAAAAGCAGGCAATCATAAGCCACTGTCAAAAACCTGCCAAGAAAACTGCAGGGATTTGTCAAGGCCAGCAAGATTCCATCCATATGGCTTTCTCAGGCTCCGTGAACAACCATTGCTTTTCCATGATTAAAAAAAAGAACCTTTCACTCCGAATTACCAAAGGAGGCACAAGTTTCACATTTTTAGGTGCTTAATAGTATTGTTTTTCAGTAGCCTCTGCTCTCTTTCCTGTTCACTGAAAGCTAAATGCTTACCTGTGCTGAGTATTTTATCAGCAACCTTTTGCAGGAAGGAAGGAATCTGTTGCTGGACAATGGTGTATCTTTGATCCCAGTACTTATCATTATAGTCCTCCTGGATCTTTTCCTTTTGGAGTTCATGTTCCTCCACCATGAATTCACTATAAAATTAAAAGAAATGAATGTCTGGGAGTGATGAAGAGCAGTGGCAGGGAAGGGGGGGGGATAGAAGAGTGAAAGAGGAAATCAGAATACAAAGGTGGAAAAGGATTTTGGTTTTTTTCATGTGTTATATATACTCTGGTTACTCTGGCAGCACTAACACACCACTTCAATCAGCGCAAGGAATTTTACCTCGTCTCCCAACAATAGCACAAATGATACCCAGGAAAAAAAATAAGAGCACGATTCCTTAGGGTACCTATAAGGATCGTTGATAATTCCTCTGTAGATCCACTTCTCCAATATCTCAAAGTATGGAACACTGGCAGCTTTGGTTAAATAGAGGCACAGTTCCTGAGCTTGGCTGTCCCCTGTGTAATTGAATGTTTTGTCATGGAGTAGGCTGAGGGTTGAACCTCCCATGCATTCGCCCTTGTCTATCGAAGTAGCTGAAAAAAGAAGAGATGCAATTTTAAAAACTTCACTATGAAAAGAATGCAGTTACCATGAAAGATCTTTCATCTGCTGAAAGAATCTGCTTTCTGAGCACATAGAATTTTTGCACGAAGTCCACTAGAACAAATATTCAACAATAACACTAATAATCCACTAAACATGATACTTTCATGAACAACCAATTTCGTTGTATTTAGGTACAATGACAATAAGGATTATACTTAACTTTCAAAAAGACTGAGCTTAGTTAGCTGCACGCTGAAAAACATTAAATACAGCTCTCAAATGCCTCAATGTAATGTTAAATATCTTTGAATGTGAGTGGGAATAATTTTACCAGCAGAATAAATGACAGTCAAACTGCCACCATCGAGGTACATGTATAGGTTGTCTTTGATTTATGACTAATTGTCCAATGACTCTTTAAAGTTATGGCAGATTTCTCCAGACTACTTATGACCTGTTTCTGCAGTTATGATGGCCACATATTCCCATGGCTCAATAATGGTTGTAAGTCAAGAATTATCTGTAAAAGTGGTTGTTGAGCTATAAGTGATCAGTTCAAATTGAGCATGCTTCATGGTGATACTGAATTCTTTATATATGTACTCATCTGTAAATTTTAAAAGCCTCTTTTCAATTCAATAGTTTTCAGGGTGATTTCAATTATAATAACTAAAATTGATAGCCTCAAGCCAGCTTACAACAGAGTACAAATGCACAATCTCATAAACAAGCAGTTTTAACTCCCTGGCTGAAGTATGGAGTCAAAGCATGATTCCTTCCAGTTCTGAAGTTTCAGGCCTTTAGGAAACCTACGTATGCTTTCTACTGGTATTGTTTTAGAGCACCAGGAATGTAGTTAGTAAAAATAGTAATTGAATTAGGATTTACAGTAGATAAACGATTAAAGAAGAGAAATGCAGGCAGAAAAGATTCCACTTGATTCACTAAAAAACTACCCATCCTACTTACATTGATAAATGTTGAAAGATGGTTTAACAGAAAATATTTCCCACCATCCCAATATATCAAAGAAAGAAGAATTCCTCACCAAGAGAAGCCAAGATTTCCATGGTCCTCATTGTGGGCTGAATATAAAACCAAAGCTTCTGCAGTGAGAGGAGTCCTTGGCGCTGGAGATGTTCCAGTTGGGTTATCAGGATCATGTACTCTTTAATGAGGGTCCTCATTGCTGCTGCCAATGCATGATTTACCTGCCCATATTCAAAGGAAGATTTCTCTTCTACAAACCTGCAATAATCCAAGCCTTTTGTCAATTTGAAACAAGAGCCTGACTTTCTAGAGTAGTTGCAAGAAGCATGTAAGAAATGGACACCTTCATCGGTCCCCCTTAGTGAAGTTTTAAGGAAATTGCTAGTACCTGGTTATTATGGAGTAACTTGCAGCGACAGGGAGGATTCTAGTGACCAATTCCTTAACAGACATATCTAGATTGGGATCCACTACAAAAGTACGAGTATCTCTACCAATAAGTGGCTGTGCTGTAATGTATCTGCCATCCACACCTATCAAAACATACAGCAGGTCTTCTACAACTGCAGACTCTTGGGCTGCCAATGGTAATGTACCTGATGAGGAAATAATATATATATAATATTTTGGAGAAGGGAAAAACAAACAAATAACTTTCAGGCTTCTAGAGGATACAGTTTTTATATTAAAGGCATCCAAGTAAGATACAAAATAATCTTCCCTGATTTGTTGAACAGAATAATATACACGAATTAACATCTCTAACTTTATATCACCGTTCTTTTGCGCTAACTAGCAGAAACTAACATACAGAGTGAATGTTTAAGTGTTAATGAAAGGCTCCAGCCAAACAATAGATTGGTGTGGAGCTTCATGATTAGATGGTCTCTTACAATCAACTACTTTCACTCACCTATTGGCACAGTTGTATCTGTACTTAAAGTAGAGCCAGAGAGGAAGTCTCCAATAAGAGCTGGTCTCTCATACACCCAGGAAGGGAATGATGGTATAGGCTGGCCAGAATTTTTCTTGTTCTGCTTTTCTCGGAGTGCCTTTCGTACAAGTTCAAGAGGCTGCCAAAGAAAAATGAGACATGACATTCTGTCAGTAAAATTCCTGCCAAACTAATATACAGAAGACTTTTTGCCACAAAAAGATGAGACAAATTGGTTCTGTCACAGCAGAATAAAATATTTTTAGCAATTGATTTACTGCATGGCCAAAAAAAAAAGTGTTATCTATCTTTATTTGAGCAGACAAAACATTTCTTAACCCTCTACCTCACCCAACCAGTTAATTTCATCCAGTCTGTATTACCTTCACATTCCACAATGAGTTCAAAAGTTGTAAATTTAACTTTGCTTAGTCCATTCTAAGCATCCACAACCACAGTACAGGACATCAAAAAATGACTAAAGTGCCAGGCTAGTTTATATGGGAAGAATCATTCCTCAAGCCATTCAAGTCTGGCATGTAGCAATTCAGGGCTTTAAAAATCAACATCAAGATATTGAACTGGGTTCAGAAGTAAGCAACTTGTAAGAAACAACATTTCAGTGTTATTTTGAGTAATTAAAACGGCCAAGGGATAGCCTATGCAGAACATATTATCTACCAAAGGGATAGCCTGTGCAGAACATATTATCTACCAAATAATTTACTACAGTATATTTTCCCTGTGATTCCTTATAATTTTTGATAAATGTATATTGAATAACCCCAACTTTTGTTTCTTGACAGGGAATATGTTCTTCATTCACAATTTACTTATTCATTGTGTTTCTATTACAAACATAGGTTTTAGCGATTATTTTATTTGTGATCTTCTACATCACATTCCAACATCAAAACTATTCCACTAGATGTTTTTGGCAATAACAAGTTGACTTTCAAATAACATTCCACAACTTTCTTAGAGAGAAGCATCTATTAGCAAAAGTAAAAAAAAATTAAATCTGGGAAGAAACTTTTAAGTTTCTGTTTTTCTCTCCAAAATAATGAAAGTATTTAAAAAAAGAGAGAGAAAAGTTTTACCCCTCCAATGGTTTTAATCTTTCTAAAGGTTTTCTAGTAAGAGGTAAATCACAACTGCTTACTAGAAAAATAATTTTCCCTCTCTACTCAATAAATGTGGAATCATAAAAGAATATTCAAGGCCTTTTGGATTAGATGGCTTATATACAGCAAATAAATAAAGGAAGAACATCAGAGACCTGTTGTGAGCTGGAACCAGTTGTCACAGTGCCCAGCTGTTTCCGTAACTCCTCCAGTTCTTGAACAGTCATTTTGGAAGATGTTGAGGGGACAGAGAAAGTGAGGCTGCTGCTACCACTGTTACTGGCTGCTGCACTTGCTGCAAGTTCTGCCCTTTCCTTTGCATTCTGTTGCAAGTATTGTAATGTCTAAAAATGGACGAAAAACAGAATTCAGAAATAATGAAGGCTTCAGTCTTTCACATGTACAATTTCCTGATTATTTCCTGAACTTACTATACTTCCAGCTACCAACATATCTGGGCATCTACTTGCATTTCTGACAATTCCCTGAAACCTATTATGGAATTTGGGTATGTATGGCAACATGAATTTGTTCTCTTATCCAGATGTTCTCTTATCCAGATGTTCTTGATTCTAGCTTTATGGTGAGTGCCGATTAATAACTTCACTCAGCTTCTGAGGCATCCTTGAGTAAGATGTTTACTTTAATGTTTAGAATGGCATTTATTTCCTTTGTGCAGAAGATCCCCTATATCATTTAAATGGGTTTCAGTGATAGCAAAGCAAATTTTCGTTGGACATCAGAAAAAAATCCCTAATGGTAAGAACTGTTCAATAAAGGGACAAACTATCCTGAGATAGTAGACTCTCTTCTAGAAATGTGTAAATAAAGACTTGTTCACTGTCACTCAGCTATGCTATACGATTGGAGAACTTACTGGGGTCCCACTAGATCAGAGGTTTCCTATCTCTTTAGCTCACTGACTCCCTCATGAAGTTTCAGATTCTTCATGCACACCCCAAAAGTTTATTGTATGAAAATAATTTAATAAATACCACTTTAACTAATAGAACTACAAATAATAGTAACAACCATAATGGATAGTTCTAGTGACCCTTGAGGGTTGATTCTAACCATTTTGGGGAATCTTGGACCCAGATAGATAATTTCCAATATCCCTTTCATTCCCTGCATTCTGTGATCGTTTCCAATTGAAAAGACCTCTATATTACATTTAGAAGTTATTCTGTACATGGGCTTGGAAAATTAATGTTGCTTAACCCAGACTTTTATTTTGCTTTGCTGTAGTCCTCAACTCAACACTGTAAGCTTGAGAATGCAAGAGATTTCTCTATTTCCTTGTTTTGTACTCCTTTCTTGATCCCACTGCATAACTATGGTTGGTCTTGATTCCTTTAATGCTTGGTCTCCTATTCTTACCAACACAACTATCAGTAACTAAGAATTGAAATTGTTTTTATATGGGCTTCTAAAGTAAACCTTTTACCTCTTTGTCTTCTGTAAGCTTGGACAGCAAATACACAAGTGAGTCAAGATGTCTTGTATTCTTCGATTTTAGTTCATCATATTTGTTTAAGAAATCTTCCGGAGTCCGTGAAAACTCTGCAATTTTAACCTAGGAAATACATGTTATTGTTATTATTTACTTTTAAAATTTTAATTAATTTATATAGCCGCCCAATTTGAGCAATGTGACTTTGGGTGGTGTATAAAAACAACCAAAATAAAAAAAACCCCAATAATAGTATTGTTATTCTGTATTACAAGAGGAAAAAAACTACACAAATATATATCTGTAAACTTCTAGAGTGCTTTTCTACTTAACAAAGCCTTTCCTCTGGCATGAAACAGAATGGCTGGACAGCTGAACTATGGTCCTGTGGTTGCAGGGGGAAAAGCTGCTATAGATTTTCCCTCTCTGACTTTTATTATATATTCATATCCACCAGGCTATTCCTCTTTGGGGTAAGCAACTTTATGCAAAGAAAAGAAATGAGATAGTCAAAAAGTTAAAGACCCATGATAAAGAAACAAACATCACTTACCACATCTCCCCATGTTTCTTCTATCTTGGTGAAAACATCCTTGCTATCATCATCTCTGTAAATTATTTTGATTCCTAGCCTGAGCAGGGGATGGAACTTTATGGGCTGAATGACGCCACATAACTCTACAAATTTGGATTTACCTGGTTTACTTTGGGATAAAATGTGGCCAGGAAGGCCAGCAAATATGAAGACAACTTCATATTTTGGAAACCAGCCAGGTATGAATGAATAAACCTGATAAACCTGGAGGTGGCTGCTAGATTGATGGCAGACTCCATCTCTACTCCCT